CTGTACTGAGTGAAAACACATTTCATTCTTCAACCTCATTCTAAAATTTTTTTCAGACTCCTGTATGTTATGCTTTGTAGTGATACTGCTTGTTTCTAAGCAAATGATCCAGAGCCCTTCCTAGATATAACATCTCTGCTTTATACCATTAGCCTTACATCTCAACTTCCGCACACAAAACAGATCACACTTAAACAAGTTGTGAATCAGATACAACAACACACCTGCCGTAGCTACACCCCTGCTGCCACTGCTGGCTGGGAAAGGACTCCCTGCTGCAGAGGGCTCCTGGAAACCAAAGGTGGCCCCAGCCCATCTCAGTGGGACCAGCTCACTCCCCTTTGCCCCCATCCTTCACTTCTCTGCATTTTAATTTTTCTGAATTCAAATGTATTGAGCTTTTGCTCTCCATTCATATTAAAGACTGGTCCTGAAAGGTGGTGAATAGGGCTGACCAATTAAAAGATTTTCAAATGAAGCTGGGTTTTATCCACTTGGAACTGTTCAACTTTTTTTTTTTTTCCTGATAATTTAAGTATCTTTGAGAGTATCTGGGTATATTGATTGCCATTTCTTCCTATTTTACTTCACCTGCTGGAAAACAGCTCTGCTGTGAGGGACCTGGGAGTCCTGGCAGATGACAAGCTCACCATGATCCAGCAGTGTGCCCTTGTTGCCAAGAAGGCCAATGGGTGCATTAAGAGGAGTGTGGCCAGCAGGTTGAGGGACGTTATCCTCCCCCTCTATTATGCCCTGGTGAGGACCCACCTGGAGTACTGTGTCCAGTTCTGGGCTTCCTGGTTCAAGACAGACGAGGAACTCCTAGAGAGAGTCCAGAGGAGGGCAACAAAGATGATTAGGGTTTTGGAGTCTCCTTCTCTGGAGATATTCAAAACCCGCCTGGACGATGTCCTGTGCAACCTGCTCTGGGTGAACCTGCTTTAGCAGGGGGGTTGGACGGGATGATCTCCTGAGGTCCATTCCAACCCTTGCCATTCTGTGATTCTGTGACATTTTCATTTTCCAGTCACATGTGCACAGGTTTTTTTCAGATACAAAACGGAGAAGAGAAACAAGGACAAAGCAAGGTCTGGGGGAGCAGCAGGGAAGAAAATTGCTGAGAAAGGAAAGAAAAACTGACACACACACCCCAAACTGAAAAATTTCTGTTTTCGTAAAGGAACTTGCAGTTCTCCAAAGAGTTGGCAGGAATAACACTAGTCTGGTACATAACGCAGGTTCTACTACAGTCTATGCTCCTCAACACAGGACACTCATATTTTTAGGGATACATTAATTTTGAAGTAGGATGTATTTCTTATATTTATTAGGTGTTCTTTTCCCAGATCCAGAAATAAACAGAAATTATAGTATGCCTAAAAGGAGCTGCATGACAACTCTCTAAAGGCAGTACCTGCATTGAAAATTTTAAAAGATTGTATAACCACAGCAAAGATATAACAAAATGCTCAGCTTCTCTAACCCTACAGGAAGATGTGCTACAATATCTCCACAGCCAATCAGCAGTACTACAACCCTCAGACCAGGAAACTCTTTAAAGTACAGTATGTGTGAACATTGCAACGGGGACTTTCTCATTGCAGCTCTTTCTTTTTCTCTTCTTTATGCTTGTAGGATGGCAAGGCAGATGTGAAGTCACTCATGGCGAAATTTAACACGGGTATCAGCCCCACAGAGGATGTTTCTGGTAACAGTCGACCCTTCAAAGTCCCAGGACAACCTATCCATACAGGATTGCAGACGAGGAAAGCAGCACTTGAGAAATTTGCAAGTCAAGGAAATGCAGCTTCTCCTTCAGGACCCAGTACCTTTCACAAACCTGTTCATGCTAAGCCTCCTCTGGGGGTCAAGCCTTCAATTGATGATAAAACAGAGAAGGATCCAAAGCCCCCATATTTGAAACCAGTGGCACAAAGGTTTGGGGTTCAGCTTCAGGCAACTAACAGAGAAAATGATGGAAAATCTGGATACACTAAACCCCTCACCAAAACCAGTGACTTGGCAAAAGAAGAGCCAAAGCCTCTGTATCCAAAACCTGCAGGGAACAAGTTTCTTAACTCTGCTCCTCATGAGAAAGAAAAAAATCCTCTGGGAACAAAACCAAATTCAAATCCTACACCACAGGAGAGTGAGGCAAAACCAGCATTTTCAAAAATAACTGGAGTTAAGGAAAAGTTCATGTCTGCAACACAAGAAAATGAGCCAAAGCCGCCTTTCTCTAAACCACCTCTTGCACAGAAACCTTCTCTAAGCCATGAGGTCTCCCACAATGAAGACACTTCTAATAAAAATGTTTTTCTGCAAAAAGGACTGTCGGGGCCTAGACCAAATATACACTCATTTAAAGCAGCAAAGGAAATGGATGAAAATAGCAACTGTGCTGCAGAAGCTGCAGGCAGTCATTTTTCTAATGTGGCTCTGAAGCCTACTGGTCACTGGTCCAGCTCACCTCAAGGCACCCCCAAAAACGTGGACGAAAAGACTGAAGAAAAGGGAATGAGCGCTGCCAAGAACATCTTTCTCAACAAAATCATCCAGGAAGAATCAGGTTCTTCTTCTCCTAAGTTCCCTAAGATGAACACAGTGCTTGCTGCAGGAAGGCCATCAGGTGGATCACAAGAGAAAGAGGATGGGGATGGGAGCTCAGGAGCCCCCAAGAGGAAAGCCTTGCCCCCGCTGTTCAAGCTGGGCCAGCCCCCACAGAAACCCAGCAGACCCCCCAGCGTGGACCTGGAAAGGTTCCGGAAGAGCAGCCCAAAAGACAGTGAGTCCTCTCTGTTGTTCCATTCTTGGGTATTGGCTTTTTTATACATATTGTACCCGATTCAGTTCAGGTGGAATCCCCTCTTTTGTTCAGAAATAACATGAGATTTGTGCATCAGACAACCCCTTAAAGCTCTAATTTATGCTTGTGTCTCTTCTGTACAGGACAGAAATTATATTCTCCTTCCATCAGCGATAAAGTATAGGATGCATGCTTTCTGTATTGGGTTTATTTGTTTTTCAAAACTACTTAGGTGTAGGTATAACTTGTGTCAGCGAGTTTTTTTCTCAACAGACCTTTAAGTACGTCCTGACTTCCTATAAATGAGGTATTGGTGTTGTGTGTCTGTTCTCAACAGTAACTTCCTGGGCACAGCCTGAGGGCCACCAAAATTATATACTGCAACCTGTAGTAACCACACTTTTTTTTCTCTTTTTTGCCTTTCACAATGGCTAACCATAGTGTGACCCTGTAAGTTGCTGTATTTTAAAATTTGTTTAGAAAGTTGAACGTTATGCAAAATTACAGAATCAGTTGTTCCCACATGAAGCTGCATCAATTTTATACCCAGATCTGAATCCTGGCTCCAAAAGCATCTCCTAGACCTAGTGTTTTCTGTCAGGTTTGCATGACTTCGGTAGAGTGGCAGTTAGTAGCACCTGAAGCTCTGTCTCAGTATTTTTGTGAAGAACTGAGCCTCTGAACTTTCTGATGGTTATAATCCAGGTGTGAATATTAAGGCTTGTCACTAGGTTTCTGTAAAATTTGAGATGGTCTTGTGCGAGATGAGAGCTTTTGTAAATACATTCAAAATATCTGGAAGGACACAAACCCCCATGAAAAAAAGAAATTGCTGTAACTCCACTCCCACAAAGAGTTCTGCTTCAACGAGTTCCTTTCACCAAATAAGACAAGTTGCAGCAACAATATAAGCTGTTTCTGAGGCACTCAGAGTATGCCCTTGAAAATCTTATGTAAACATGTACTTTCCTAAAGTTAGACCCACATGTCCACTGTCACCTCTTCAAAGGAGAGATCAGTTTTGAGGAGGTTCTGAATGTCCTTAATTCTCCCTTAACCCACCTGTTTTTTAAACTTTTGCGTGAAGGTTTTCCCCCAAAGCTTTTAGGCAGTCTTTGACAATTCCAAAAAGTTAAAATTGGAATGGGTGATGCCAATTGACACATTCCTATTTCAAGTTTTATAGTAGATGAAGGAGGCTTTCTCTTTTTTCTCATAGGAGCAGGTGATAGGAACAATAATTGCATAAGAATTCTGAACACATTTTAAAATCAAGGCTTTAAGTTGTATGGGTCCAGATGAAAGCTGTTCTTGATCTTCGTGCATGAGAGAAACAAGGACAGAAATAAAAAATTATTTTTCTGTTAAATTTTTGTATTTGGCTTGGGTTTTTTTTCTTTTTTTTCTTTTTCTTTTTTTTTGTTTCTCTTAATGCACTGCTGTCTGCATTAAGCTCAGGAAGCCAAGAATATATTCAAGACTCATATATATTATTTTAGCTCAAGTAATTTTAACCAGTTATGTCCTGCAAGTAATTACATCAGGTGATACACACAGCTAAATAACTTCTGATAATGAGGGGCATTTCACCTACATTAGTCTGCCTTAACCATCTCCCTCAGAGTTAATTAAGCTGATCAAACTTAGACTCTTGCATTTTCAGTGTAGTCAGTGGGAAAAGGAAATGCTCAGAGTATTAAAGTTAGGTGTCTAATGCGGCTGACAACAGATGCTCTGAATAACCCCACACTGTGCCTGTGCAGTACACCAGGTACATTCATGTAATGTATTGGACACAAAATCTGTCCTTGTTCCTGCCATGTTTAGAATACAGTATGGCTTGGGCTTCAGCAGTTTTGAATGCACATAAGAGTGGTCTTCCTGAGACAGTAGACATTCAAAGGGGTTACAACAGGATGAAAAAACTCAGAGATTATTTTGCTAAAGACAAAAAGGCACACTAAAAACATAAAGCGTGCATGCAACTATATATTCTGTTACTATTAATTCCACTCAAAAATTAGGAGTGTACCACCAACATAAAATGTACTTTCTTGTCAACTGCTACATTCTGATTTTCCTGTGTTACCCTGCAGTTACGGAAATGTTCTCACAAATCCATGATCAGGGCCAGATCCTCAAATGGTGTAAATTTGTGTCTCTCTTTAAAAGAAATATGCCAATATACAACAGTCTGAGCAGCTGCCCGTTCTCCATAGAGCACTGTTCAGAATGACTACCTTTACCCAAGTGCCCAGAACAGTCTTGAAATGGAAAGGCTACATTTTCAGCAAATGACACCAGCAAATGTTTTGATTAAACAAAAAAAATAAATAAATCTTTCCTAGATAGAAATTTTAGAAGTCCTGTCAACAACTGGGACACCCAAAACTGCAACTAATTTTTTAAAACTACATTTTTTAGTTTATTCTAAGTAATTAATGGAGGAATTATTTTATTTGTGTGTTTGTTTTTTATTCATTTATTTAATTTTTTTGCTGGTTCTTATGCAGTTACAGACACAAAGTAGAACTTTTGTTAGGAGGAGGATCTCCAGTTGTCACTAACCAGCACTAGTGCAGCCACTGGCCTGGATGAGTCGCACTGGGAACATAAGCTAAGGATGGAGTTACCCAGTGTGGTGGCACAGGTTGTACTCCAAACTTGTTGCAAAATAACACACACAACTAAGTAGAACTGAAAGGTCAGACATGGCCTTCTTTACTTCCCAGTCTTTGGGTCAAGGCAAGACTGAAAGATTTAGAAACCTCATCAATATGAAGCTGTTTATAGTGGCCCTCAACTTAGTGGCCTTCCCCCATAGAGCTGGCATGTAGATCCTGATGTTCTGTTTGGCTTTAAACTAATGCAGCTCATTTCTTTCTGGCCAGAACTCTCCGTAGAACAGTTCTGGTGTAGAGACCAGATCCTGAACAAACTTGTTTTCCATGCAACAGTTATTCATTGCTGCTGCGTTTCTTGGAACATTAAACTCAAATGACAAAACCTACCTGCTTTGGAAAGGCAGTTACACTGAATTGGTTTTTTTTTTTTGGTTTTTTTTTTCAACTGTCATTTCAAGAATCAAAGTCATGTCAGGAAGATGCCACCCCCACAGCACAAATTCTTCCTGCTCATTACTTTGTCCTCATAAACAGCAGCTTGACATAGTTGTTTAATTTGCTGCTGTGATTCAGGTGCTGAATAAAAAGAACAAGCAAATGGAAATGTTTTTTCCATCCAACAGAGCTTTCTGAGATCTAACCTTTGGGCGTTTTGATCTGCACTAGGGCAAAAGTTAGGCTTTGTGTTGTCCTTCGAGAAAAGCTCCACGCATGGCGGCTGTTATACTTGTGTTAGGGGCATGTGAATGTGGTGCAGAAAATCTTGTATTGCTTGATTTAAACTGGGAGTTTGAACTTGGCTTTCTGAGAAGTATTGTCACCCCTTTTTCTTTGCTTGTTATCCTTTCCCATAAAAGCTGCTTTACCATTTTTCGTAATCAAGTATTCACTAGGCATGAAATAACTAAAGTTAGAGGTCAAAGGGCTTACTTTAGATGCAGCGATCTTCGTCATGTGTGGGAGAAGGTTTTAAACTGTCCACCATGCCTGCATGAATACTAAGGGAGACTGGTTTGGTGTTGGCCTTGCTTAGGATTAGAAATTTTCACATGGTCCTGAAAATCTTTTAATGATAAAATTTCTGTAGATACAAGTGTCTTGCTGAAGGAAAGTATGACTACTGATGCATTACTATTTTCCAGTCAAGGCAGGCTTTAAGAAATTCCTGTCCAGGCCTGTGAATACATGACTCCAGTAAATTCCTGTGTTATGTCCCATTACAGCAGTTTTCCCTGAGAGCAGATCATATTTACATCAGCTCAGAATCAAGGAGATGCATGTGCTTTCTAGATTCAGAAAATTATACTAATGATACTGTTTTATAATAAATACCCAAAGTGCAAACAGGGCTTTGTTAGAAAAAAAGAAGAGAAGCAAAGCCATTTTGCTGACAGCTTTCTATGTGAGGCCACAACCATACCGTTGCTTTCAGAGGAGCACTGCACCTGGGCGGACCTCGGTGGGATGGTGTGTGTACAGACGGCCACCCACATGAAGTCAGTTGAAGGCTCAGAGCCCCTCGTGCTCTAAGCACCTCTGAAAGCTTTGTGAATGATCAGCACTGGGTCTTCAACTAGGGAGAATATTTTGAGCTGTACCGGGAGAAATGAAACTGCACTGCATCTAAGAGAAAAAAAGATATTTAAGAAAGAAAATTCCCAGGATTTATGATTTGAGTTATGGTTGTGTCTGCAGTCCTTGTTGAGTTTCTGTTCTGCAATGGACTGTGCACCCACACAGTGACATGGCTGTTTGAGTTGGGTAAGAAAGCCAGAGAGAAAGAAGGAATTAAAATTTGAGGTGCATTGTCAAAGTTATCGCAACACTCTGTTGGCAAAGTAATTAACAATAAAGCACCACTCCTGAGAACAGTAAATGTCTTAACTGTCTTTGCAACGCCCCTTAGAAGCAGTCAGTTGTTGCTTTTACTTGCTGGCAAGATGAAACACCAGCTTCCAAAGTTATAAAGAACAGGGGATTTTTTTTATCACAGGATGTCATGGCTGTTTACTGCAGAATCTGGACTTAAAAGGTCAATGTTTTGGTTTTGGTTTTTTTTACTTCAGTGCTACATTTGATAAAGTTCTGCAACAGCTCAGTATTAAGGTGTAATACACAAAGAATACAAAAAGAATTGTAACTTGAGCCAAATAATCTAAGACAGATGAAACTAGAAGTAAGCGATGATACCAAACAACACTGTTCAGAGTGGGGTGGGGGTAGCTGTGTGTAATGATGTGATGCCTCTGTTTTCACAGGTGAACTATAGCACACCATGAAACCCTTGTACAGCTCAAAAGAGTGTCAAAATGATAATTTCAGAACAGCATGATAATTACGTGCAACATAATGCCT